AACCGCGCGCGAGACACAAACGACCGCGTAACACGCGTCTAGCGATAACTCGCTATTGACTCGACACACACACTCGACATCATGACTCAACATTCACACACAATTATAAGCATGAAATATATATTATCCCATGCCCTCATACCATTCCATACACACACACATTCACGCACACGGACAACAAGCCGAGTGCAAACCGTAGGGTTGCACCAACAGGTGTTGATGTAGGTACTTGGGGTCTTGTAGCTGTTGATTGCTGCTGCATGGGATGATGATGAGCTTCTGTAGTTGCCTCTGGAGTGATGGCTGGTGATGGGTTTGATGGCGTAGTGGTGGGCTGATCCGGTTGGCGTTGAAATTGTGAGGTTGGTGTTGATATAGCTGGCTGGTTTGTGACTGTTGGCTGCTGCTCCTTTGGTGGTGATGGAATGGTGACTTGCTGCGGTGGATTGTCTTCATTTGATGGCTGAACTTCATCTCCACTTGGTTGAGTAGCTGCTGGTGGCACTGGCGTGGCACGGTTGGACTCGTTGACGACGGCTTGAGGGAGATCGATGATCGGTCCGCTATGGTCAGAATCGGTGTCATCTTCTTCCTCCTCTTGTGTTGTTTCCTCAGGTGCGCTTGCTGGTTCCTGTTGGATAGAGGGTAGAGAGGAGGAAGAGGAAAACTTATGCCAACCTGCAAGGGACATGTCTTCATAGAAGACAACATCCCTTGAAACCACTTCTCGCTTGGTGACAGGATCCCAAAGGACCCATCCCTTGCTCTCATTGCTCATGCCGATGAAGAGGCCCCAATGAGCTTTGCTGTCCAGCTTGAGTCTCTTTGCATCTGGAACACGGTATTGGGCCATGGAACCAAAAACACGAAGCATAGACAGATCTGGTTTAACTCCAAACCAAGCCTCATATGGCGTTACACCTTCCGGTAAGGGCCTTGTGGGTCTCCTGTTGCGAACATAAATTGCCATAGTGATTGCCTCACCCCACCAGAGCTTGTCAAGGCCTTTGAACTGAAGGAAAGTGGTAGCTATAGCCTGGATAGTGCGATGAAACCTCTCTGCCACTCCATTTTGCTGAGGACTATAAGGACAAGTGAACTGTTGTTTGATGCCCAATGCCAACAACTCCCCCTGAAACGCTTTCCCCATGTACTCACCTCCTCGATCCGACCTCAAGGTGAGTAACTTCTTCCCTGACTCTCTCTCAACAAGTGCTAGCCATTGCTTGAAACACTTGTGAACTTCATCCTTGGTGTTGATGAAAAAGGACCACGAGAAACGACTCTTGTCATCAATGAAAGACACCAAATATCTCTTACCGTTTCGAGTAGGGTCTCGCATGGGGCCGAAGACATCAGTGTGGACCAACTCTAGGAGGTCCCTTGACTGAGACTTAGAAGGGAAGAATGGCTTTCTAGCTAGTTTACCTTCCACACAAGATGGACATGGAACGGAAGAAAGGGACTTGACTGCACTTTCATTCAAACTCAATCCTTCCACGCTCTTGTGATTTACCAACTCTTTCAATGCTTGCACTCCCACGTGCCCCAAGCGTGCATGCCATACCTCAGCTTGGGAGATACTCCCTTTGTTGTTGACTTGATCGGTTGAAACAGCGGGAAGCGAGACAACGTCGTTCTTCGTGTTGCTAGCACCGCGCTTAATCTCCAACTTCATCTTGTAGAGCCGCCCGGTACGCTCGCCTTCAGCCACCAGATTTCCTGCACTGTCCCACTCTTTGGCTTTCCCCCCTTGCAAGAGAACGGAGGCACCTTTCTCTTCGAGTTGTCCGGCTGAGAGCAAGTTTGCTCCCAAATCAGGAACAAACAAAGCTTTATTGACACAAAATGACTTACCATCCTTTTTGAACTCAAGCTTGCCGACTCCTTTGATTGGTACTTTGCCAAGATCAGCAAGAGTCACAGCTTTTGAGTCATATGAGGGCTGAAAATCCTTGAGAATGGACTGATAGGGAGTCATGGTTTCAGAGCAGCCACTATCAAGAATAAACTCCTCACTACTAGTAGAGAAAACGTGCATGCAAGTAGCAGCGTTAAAAAGGACAGGACCATCAGACTCTTTGGACTCATCTTGACTTGTAGAATGACTTGCTATATTTGCTATGGCTGCCTTACCTTTTTCAGATAGTAGCTGAGGTGGGGGGACCCAATTAGGAGGCTTCTTAGGACAAGCATACCACGGGTGACCCCACTCATGACAACAAAAACACTCAAAATTAAACTTTTTAGCATTCGGGGCTTGGCTGAAATTATTGACTCTTGGCATATTGACTCTTGCATTCCTAGGCTGGTATTGATTGGGAATCGAAGGCCTTGGCTGGACATAGTGACTGGACTTATAGGGAGGACTTGACTGAGGAAAACGAGAGGGTTTGTATGGGTTGGAAGGTGACTGAAATTTCGTACCGTAGTAGGGTTGAGGGCGGTTTGGGCTGAAATTTCCTTGCCTCTGGAATTGGTTGCCATATCTTGTGGCTGCTGCAGCACTCCACGCACCTTCGTCACTCCGCTTGTTCCGTGCAAGGTCTCGACTCTGCTGCTTGTTGACAAGGGCCTCAAAGATGAACGCACGACTCTTCATTGACTGCGGGAGCGCTTGTAGTGTTGCACGGAAAGTGTCCCACTCCGGTGTAAGGCCGGTGAGGATGACGGTCTTGAAAAGAGACTCTGGAATCTCCAAGCCGATCGCTGCTGCTTCCTCCAGCATTGCTTCAGCTCGTTGTAGGTAGGCTTGTGCTGATTCATCTTCTTCCATCTTCAGATTCATGAAGCGGCTCCACATCTCGGCTTGGCTGCTCTCGGATTTTGACTGGTGCATAGTCTTCAGTCGGCTCCATGCTTCCTCTGCACTGTTTGCCTTGGTAGAACAGGGCAGGAGCGACTTCAACTGCTGCTCGTGAATGCTATTGAGTAGGTAGAGGAAGGCCTCCTTGTTGCGTCGTTCGTAAAGTCGTTTTTCAGCTTCTGAAGCATCTGCTGCTGGTTTGGCTGCTTCTCCAGTGTAGTAAGGCCACAGATCCAGAAGGGATGCAGTGAGCTCAAACTGAGTTGCCCATGTTGGAAAATCTTTGCCGTTTAACTTGGGGAGGTGAAGCTTAGGCATGAAGGAGGTGAGTGGTGAGTATGTTGTTGAAGGACTGCCTGGTGCAACTGCTTCCACTAATCCAGTAGCTGCTGATGTTGACTCTGAAGCTCCTCCGGCTGGCTGGAGTGCAGGACCAGATGGATTGTCTCCCGCCATGTTCGTATGGTGCTAGGATAGGAACGTGGTGGGCTAGGTTGATCGAAACGACAAGCTCTGATACCAACTTGTAAAACAGAGTAGCTGTGACTACTGGAGGGCTGGAAACTTGGCTGGAAAGTCTTAGCAGGGCTGCTGGAATTGACTGGATGAGGTAAAACTTCACTATGTTCAAGATTAACAAGCCCACTAAAGCACAACTCTATAGGCATCACAAACAAGACAGATTGAAAGCTCAAACTAGGCTGATAGACAATGTAACTTCCCTGGTAACTTGGGCACAATCTAGATTGGATGGACCTTGAGTGACTTTGAGTGCCACATGAGGTGCATGAATAAGAAAACTCTGGATATTTCTGTTATAGCTGATTCTTATGTGTAGAAACCTGTAGAAACTGCCAACACTTTGGTTTGAAGGCAGCTTTGAACTATATCAAGTCTTCGGCTGAAATCTGATTGGTGGTGGAACTTTCGAAGTACTTCCCGAAGCTCTGATTCATCGCCGACATTCCCCCTTGCTGCTGCTTGTGTGCAAAGGGCTGGGGCGGCAGAAACTCGATTCTCCAACACAATTCAATGTTGGATTCCAACATTGAATTCCCGAAATGTACTTAGGGTGTGTTCCGAATTCTGGTTCGGATCATAAGGAGCTGAGTTGGCGAAATTGAGGATGACGAGATCGCCTTCGTCTTGTTACATTGATCATTGGCTATATTCCACAGTCAGCCAGCCGCACCACTGTGATAGACGGTCGGATCGGATGATATAGATAGATCATCTGACCAGACGAGATTATAGATAGATCGAACATTGTACGATCTAGTAGCGAGCTTAGGTCTTTGTACATCCTCGTTTACTGCATCCACATGAGGCGCCTCACCTTATCGGCGGTACTCGTTTCCGCGCCATCATCGCCTCTTTCCGCTCGTTTCTCACCCTTCCCATTCCTATTGCCTTCCATTGTTAGATTCTCACCTCTGAGCTCGTCAGCCTGACTAGATCACTCGAAACGTATATTTCTTTGCAGGCTCGGCCTCCATTCGCCGGGCGCAAACAGATTAACTGGGTCGACTCAAAGTCGTCAAGCCTGGGCAGTTCGTATCAGTTCAACCTCCCCAGTAAGACACCCTCTCACGTATGGCTTGCGTATCACGTCGCGGGTAAGGAGTCTCTACAATAAATCTATATCCTTGCTGTCCCTCTCATTCCATTCTGCCCCGTTGTTCTCGTTGCCTCCCACGGTCGTACTCCTAGCAGTGCTTAGAAATTCTTCTCCTCATGCTGCTAATGCTGATTTTGCTGTCATAAGACAATCTTAGAGAAGCATCTCCCCATGCGCTATGCTGATGTTGCTGTGTAAAACAATCTTAGAAAGCCATGGGGAGATGGAGCATCTCCCCATGCTTTCATCGGAATCGTGCTTAATCGCCCAGTTTTTGGACTGGGAAATCTTATCAAAGAGCATGCGTTTTCGCTCATCTTATACCAACATGATGCATCGTTGGCGTGAAGTATTGTTTCGTCGTTCTTGATTTTTCTATACTTTGTCTCATCTGGCCTGCCGTTTCACTTCCACATCACATCTGCTCTTCAGCTATCGCTGCACGTTTTTTCTTGATTTGCATCGCAATCTCGTTACCCCATTTTCCACAACTCATCCGTCACTTTGTTACCACATGGCAATTAGCTTTTCCCATGCATCACATTATAATGTCACGTGCTGTTACCTTATCGACTCATGCTCTGCCCTCGTATCCTCTCGTCATATGTTACACTTTCAGGTGATTCTGAAATTCATGTCGGACCAGCTGTGTGGGCTCCAGATTCTGCCGTGTGATGTTTCAGCGCAGCACACAGGAACGGACGGGGCAGGGGAGGCCATGGAGATGAGGCTGAGGGCGCTGGAAGGGCAGCCGGAGGAGACTCGGAGGGGACTGGAGGACGCTGAGAAGAGCAAGGCGGCAGAATTGATGCTAGTGAAAGGCGAGCTGCTAACTGTGAGAGGAGAGTTGGTGACTGTAAGGGGGGAGTTGCTTACAGCAAGGGGTGAGCTGGCGACTGTGAAAGTGGGGCTGGACGCATTGAAAGGGACTCTGTTAGAAACGAAAACAGAGCTGGGTGAAAAAAAGGAGTGCCTGCAGAAAGCGGAGAATGAGAAGCTGGCTTTGGATAAGGAGGTGAGGGAGCTGAGAGGAGGAGTGAGTATGGATGAGGCAGCAGAAATGACGTGCCCCGCACCAAAGCAGGTGGAGTTTGACGTGGAAGAGGAGCTCCGGATGCGCCAAGGCGTTCATAGAACGGTTTGGCAGGTGAGGAGTACGAGACTGATGGCGTCAGCTGCTAGATAAATTGGATAGAAGGAAGGATAATGCCTTCAAAGTTTGCTGCTACTGTTTCTACTGCTGGTTTCTGCTGTTGCTTGGTCAAATGTTTCCTCCCTCCCCCACTTTCCATCATTCGCAGAGGATCCATGCGACGACGACATTGGATCTGAAGGGTCTGCCTTACCTCTCAGATGCCATCCTCGGCCATGTGTCCACCATGACTCACCTGAAACACATCACTCTCGATGCTTTAACAACATTCAGCCCAGAAGGGATCAAGCACCTCTACATGGAGCAGCTTGAGAGCCTAGAGCTGACGAGTCATGCTGTAACAGACAATTGCTTGGAAGGCATTGGGGCAGCAAGCAGCCTCAAGTCACTCTGTCTCAATGGGACCCGTGTGACTGATGCTGGTTTGCGTTTTTTTGCACCTCTGAGCAGGCTCAAATTGCTCGTTTTGCCAAGTATGGTCACTGATGTTGGCCTGGAGCACATCCAGTGTCTAACTGCTTTGGAAGAGTTGGATATATCGAACTCTTTAGTGACAGGAAAAGGTGTGGCACCACTCAGAAAGTTACATTGTTTGAGACAAATTCGAGCAGAAGGTCGCGGCTTGCATGTCCTCCAGGCCCCCAGAAGTCAGAAATTTTTCTATGATTTGCCTAAAAAACTCTGATATTTCAGCCTTTTTTTGAAGTGAACTCTGAAAATTCAGCCTTTTTTTGAGAGAAAACAGGAAAAATGCGAATTTTCTAGTGTGCAGTGGTATTTCTGCCGGGAAAACTCTGATTTTCAGAGTTAAGTCATGTACCAACTCTGAATTTTCAGACTAGCCCAAAACCAATCTGAGGGCCTGATGCCCTCGTGCTAAGCAACCTTCCAGGAGTGGAGCTGAGTAGTGTTGCTCTTGGTTCATCTTAGTTTCCTATTGTTGTAACCATTTAATTTCCAACTCCCTTTTTCTCCCTAGACTTCAGTTTTCTTTTGGTACGCTGATTCAGCATACATTCAGACTTCTTTTGTGTACCTTGACTGATTCATCTGCATGTTTTCTTACAGTAATTCATGGCTGATTTTCCCAGCATTTTTCTTCGTACTTTGTCTGTTTGTTCGGACCTTTTCCGTTAGTGTACGCTGATTTGTCAGAGTGATAGCGGGTGAGACCCTATGCTGAATCCGCACTCTTAGAATCTAGGCATGAGTGAAGTTGACTATCGAGAGAATTGGTACAAGGAGAAAACCCTAAGGGGTTATACCCCACAGTGTCTACCTCACTACAGCCTACCCACAAATATAGCATATGCATATCTTTGACACACCCCCATAGGCAAAGTGGGGGAGAGCAAGAGGTCACAAGATCAGTCAAGAAAAGCAAAGCAAGCATGCATGTATATACATATAGATCAGAGTACAAGCAGAATCTACAGCAAGTGTGGAAACGTAGGCACAAGGCCCAACAAAGTACAAAAGCGCTGATGATCACCAGACGGAAGTGCCTTGGTGAATATATCAGCAGTGTTGGCCCGAGTGGCTACGTGAGCAAGACGAAGTTGACCCCGCTGCTGCAACTCTCGAGCCAGGAAGTAACGCAGAGCGATGTGCTTCGTTCTGTGCTCCAGTCTGTGCTCCTGACACAAGGCAATGGCTGCCTTGTTGTCGACGTACAGAACTGGAGGAGAACGAGGCCTCTCTCCGAAGTCGGTCAGCAGGTAGGTGAGCCAGCGTAACTCCTGTGCAGCCATGGCTGTGGCGTAGATCTCAGCCTCACAACTGGAGCTGAGAACAGAAGACGAGCGCGTAGACCGCCAAGAAACAGAGCCAGAGCCAAGACTGAAGGTGTAACCCTGTGACGACCGCTGCGTAGCCTGGTCGTCAACCCAAGAAGCGTCCGAGTGACCAGTGAGGACAACGTCGCCCCGTCCTCCAAGCACGAGCCCCATGCCCGATGTACTGCACAAGTAGCGTAGTACCCTCTTAGCAGCATCCATGTGCACCTTTCGGTGCCGACCAGGAGCCACGTAGCGAGCCAGAAGGCCAAGAGGGTACGCAAGGTCAGGACGAGTGCAGGTCATCAGGTACATGAGGCAGCCAACTAGCTCTGGGTAAGGACCACTCGGCTCTAAGGACTCGTCCGAAGGTGGAGCTGAGAGCGAGTGACCTGTAGTCAGAGGAGTGGCCTGTGCCGAGGACCAGGTGAACGCGAAGCGCTGAAGGACCTGCTGCACCATGTGTGACTGAGTCAGAGTGATGGTGCGGCGTGCTCTGTCCCGGGTGATCTGCAAGCCAAGGTAACTGCGCAGCTCACCCAGGTCTGTGCACGTATGTCTCTTCTGCAGCTCCGACTTCACCAGGGCGAGAGCCTCCGTATCAGCAGTGGCAAAGACCAAGTCGTCGACGTACACGAGGATGTAGAACGGCGGCATCGAAGTGTCGGTGCGCAGAAACAGCGACGGGTCAGCGAGCAAACCCAAGAGCCGCAAGTGTCGTCCTCAGTGTGTCGTGCCACTCACGTGGCGTCTGGCGGAGACCGTAGACCGGCCGCCGGAGGCTCCACTGGGTACCAGGAGGGAACGACCCAATGAAGCCTGGTGGGCGGCGCAGCCAGATCTCCTCGTGCAGGCTGCCCTGTAAGAAAGCTGTGCTGAAGTCAAGGGAGTGAAGATCGTAGTCACGCTGAGCGGCAACGTGCAGCAACACCTGAAGAGTGGTCATCTTCGGGGTGGGGGAGAAAGTTTGGAAGAAGTCAACTCCCTCCCGCTGACTGAAGCCTCGAGCAACGTAACGAGCCTTGAAGACAGGCGGAGAACCTGGCGGCCGCTTCACCCTGAAAATCCACATGCCGTCGACGATGTTCGCCCCAGGAGGGGGAACCTCGTCAACGTAGGTGCCTGTGGACTTCCAGGATGCCATCTCTGCGTCGATGGCTGTCTGCCACTGAGAGGAGTACTCACCCGCGATCGCCTCAGCGTAAGAGCGCGGGGTCGGGATGTCTGGTGCATCCGGGTCTCCCTCAGGGGCAAGCAGCATGGCCACGAGATGAGGTGCAGCGGCCGCAAGACACTCAAGGTCCTCCTGTCTGTCCTCAAGGACGTCCGTGCCAAGAGGACACTCACCCCCGACGGACGGAGGACAGACAGACTCAGACTCAGCAACAAGACTAGCAGCGTAGTCTAGACGACAGGCAGCAGCAAAGTCAACCAGCTCAGCGACAAAGGCAGACGCAGCAGCAGACTCAAACGACGGGTCAGTGACAACAGTGGCTAGCATACGCGTGACAGTAGGGTGCTCAGCACGAAACCGGTCAGACTCAGGGACCGGAACAACAGGCAGAGAAGACGCAGGAGGAGACGGCAGAGGAACACGCTGCGGAGGAGAGGAAGAATGACGGACTACGAGGTGGGTGTTGGGGACAGCCGACTGACGCGAACGAGGAACACGACGACCAGAACGGACAGGCGAGACAGGACGCGACGCAGGCGCACGACGCTCAGTAAGACCCCCTTTCTGCTCAGTGTAAGGAGACGGAGCAGGCAGCGGTGAGCCAGGCTGTAACGGAAGACCAGTAGACGAAGGGAGACTAAGAACCTGGCGAAGCACAGAGTCAGGCGGTGGCTGAGACGTCGGAGACGGTGGAGCAAAGAACAGGCGCGGCTGTGCAGTGACACCAGCACCAGCAGCTCCAGTACCCCCAGCAGCTCGAGCACCTCCAGCAGCCCCAGAACCCTCAGCGTCAGCTCCTTCAGGACCAGCTCCACCAACAGCAGCACCCCTAGAACCGGCACCTCCAGTCCCGGGGTCTCCAGCCTTAGTGTCTCCAGCAGCAGCACCCCCAGACCCAGGGTCTCCAGCAGTAGCACCCTCAGGCTCAGCAGCACCTCCAGCCCCAGCAGCTCCAGTACCTCCAGTACGAGCACCTCCGGGACCAGTACCACTCCTAGCTCCAGTGACGTCAGCAAAAGTACCTCCAGCAGTAGAGCCCCGAGCTCCAGAAGCTCGACCCTGACGGCGACCGTACCAGTCGTGCAGCTGCTGTGAGGTGAGAGGCACACGCGGACGAAGGCGGCTACTCCAAGGAGACCGCGCAGCAGTAGACTCAGAACCCTCAGGCGTCTCACCCCCAGACTCAGTACCACCAGGCTCCTCACGCTCGGGCTCAGCACCTCTAGACACAGCACCCCCAGGCTCAGCACCTCCTGGGTCCTCACGCGCAGGCTCCGCACCCCCAGGCTCAGCACCCCCAAGCTCTGCACCCCCAGGCTCAGCACCCCCAAGCTCCGCACCCCCAGGCCCAGCACCCCCAAAGACAGCACCACCCCCAGTAGGACCTGAGTCACCAGTGACCTCAACAGGCGCAGGCACAGGAGGGTCTACCTGAGAAACACCTGAAGGAGCAGGACCTGGCGCGGGGAGGGGGTCTACTTGGGGAGGACCTGGGGCAAGAAAGAGCGGCGGGGGGGGGGGCGAGGGGCAGTGCGGTAGGGAAAGAGATGGTAAAAGGGGACGGACTCGTCAAAGGTGACGTCCTGAGACGGAAAGACACGGCGCGAGGCGGGGTCGTAAAACTGCCAGCCAGGCGCGTCAGGGACAAAGCCAAGGAAGACGCAGGGAATGGCGCGAGCGGAAAACTTGTCCGCGGTGGTATCGCGGACAAAGGCACGAGCACCCCAGACCCGGAAACGCAACGCATCGCCAACCTTCCCCGTCCACAGCAGTGTGGGCGAAGTCTCCGGCAAGGAGACACGGGGCCAGAGGTTGAGCTGATGCGCGGCGTACCGGACCGCAAACGGCCACAGAAAATGGGGGGCAGCCGCATGGATCATGGAGGTACGAGCGACCTCCATGACTAAGCCAATGCGGCGCTCAGCAACCCCATTCTGCTGCGGAGAGGCCGGAAGCGTGCACGTCTGGCGGATGCCGTGCTCCGCACAGAAGGCTGCCAAGAGGTTTGAGGAGAACTCACCACCCCTGTCAGAGTGCAGACGCAGGACAGGAAAGTCCGAGTGGAACCACTCGCGGAGCTAGAG